CTGTAAGGAGATGCTAATTATTCTCCATCAGAACTACATTTAGGTAGGCTCTACCTGTTTGTTTAAAATAAATAACCATGATGTTTGTTGATTAAAATATCTTTTTCAATTAGAATAAACTGGGAAAAACAGTGAGTTGTAGCTATCTCACTAGGTAGCTTTAACTTAAAATAGCTCTCTTCTTGAGGCCAATGATTAAGGACTACAGTTACTGTAGTATGACTTTCCTGCTAATTTTACATTTTGTTTCCTTGGAATGTACATACTTCTATATGTAAAAGGGCTGCCCCCTAATAGTCGAGTAAACCGTATGTCAGTGAGAAGAGTGCAGAAAAACACAACACCACCTCAAACTCCATTCGGGAGCTTTGTCACCGGGACGAAGGTATCAGGAGATTGTTGCAACACGGACCTTTTCTCTTGTAACACAGAAGTCCTTACTGGAACGTACTGCTGCTAACTCTAGCTGCCGTTTGCTAGTTAGCTCAGTTGTCGGTCTACTATTCTACCCAGACTTGGAGCTCAGAGTAGCAGAGGGGGAGTGTTGCTTTTGATTACAACACCAGCACAAGAGCTTTGGAGCTTTGGGGTTTTCAGGAACGGGACGAGGGATCGAGTGGGGAATGCTGCCAGGGAGCATATAATATATAATTGTTTTGATTTTTTTTTTTTTTTTTTTAAATACAACAAATGTCAGATGGCAGTCTTTGCAACAGTGTTTTGACCAAATGTGTTTAATGTGTTTGGCTTCGTAGGGCAGTATATAACATAATATATAAGAATAATAAAATCACGTATTTGACAATGTATATAGAACCATGCACTTGCATATACATTCCACACCAACACCAAAACATGCTGCTCCAAACTAGAATCACAAACAAAACCAAGATATGATAGAAAAGAGGAAAGGAAAAGCATACCTTGTTCTGCCATCATATGTGCAAGGCCTTGATAAATAAAAGAGAAGGAAGGGAAATAGTGAAAGGAACACTTAGTTTCAATACTCTTTAGTATTGTGATGATACATATTTTTCCCCAAGAGGGAAAGCATGACATCAGAACACACAAACAGGTGACACAAGTTTCCTATGGCTGAGCAGGAGGCTTCTTCATAAGGAATTCCAGCATGTCTGTAGAAGTGATAGCCTCACAGACCTCACAATCACTGACCTGCTGTATGGACCTAAACCTGCAGCAATTGATATGACACAGAGCAACAAATTCATGAATATGGAGTCATATTTCTGACCAAAATAGACTCTTTGTTTTAGGTCTCTACCATCTCCTATCTGACTTTTTAACTGCTAAAAGATCCACTATGTTCACCAGCTAATCTCTGTCTGCTGTTTGGTCCTGGTGAGGTCGTGTACAGTGGGACAGCTTTTTCAGCGGTCTGCTGTGACCAAAAACGACGCCACGAGAGCCATGAGTGAACAGTTTAACTCATGATGCTCCATAAAGTCCGAAGGAACTGCAGATTCAGGTGGTCGTTCTCTGTAGGGTCAACACGACAAGCAACCCACTTCACATTGTCATTTGAGACATTGTTATTAAGAAAATATCAATTACAGTCACTTTAACAATGATCTTGTAGTGATTTGATTTACAAAGTAATTTATTATCTTATTGTAAATTGAGAGGAGGGTAAAAAATAATTTAACCTACACCTGAATCAGTTCTCCAGCTCTAACAGATGTTAAAGCTGTCCAAAAAAAATCAGATCTGTGTGGAGCGATAAGGAGATTGTAACCTTCCTCAAATGTATACATGAAACAATGTCTTCCAGTGATTCAAGCTCTTTCAATTAAGTAATCTTGTGGGTGAAAACATGCATTCGTTTGCATTTTCTTTTGCAGATTCTTTCAATATATCCAGTGCGAATGGGTGAATTCTATCCATTTGAATAATAATCTATAATAACTTTTAAATTTATAAAAATAAATTTGTAAAATAAGCTTTAATAATCACTTTCCAGGTACATTTTCTTTCCAGGTAAGTACTGTTTCCTTGCCCAGTCAGTCTAGTGTGTCATTCTGTTAAACCCTGATGTAGCAGGGAGTCTACCTTTTAAGCTGGAGTGGTTCACGGTAGTCTGACAGTGCAGAATCAACAAGCCCATACTATGTTTGTATTGCCCTAACCTGTCTGAAATCTGCAGCTATACAAATAATTGCCATATATTTACATTGTGTTTTATTTTTTCCCCATTTTAACTCACCTGGCATATTGTTGACCTCTGAAATAGAGGGAGACAGAGAAAACAAGCAAACAAAGCCAGCATTAGACACTCTTCTTACTTGCATGTTGACTGTCATGCAATAATTTCACAACAAATTGTACATACAAAGGGCTGGCAGTGGGCACAGCCATGTGTATGTTCTTTACAATGCAGAAGGTTTCAGCAATGACAAGTTAAACCATCATTCCGTCCCATTAGATGAAATTCAGACAGAAATATCCAGCGTGAAGAAAAAGACTTATCCCTGCATGTATAAACACACTAGTGAGAAGCACACTTTAATATTTTTGGTATCTTTCAGTACAGCCATGTTAATTCATTTCATCAATATTTGCAGGACTTTTGCTAAATCATAGTAATCAAAACATAAGTTAACAAAAAAAAACTAAAGATAAAATAAAGTTCAACCTTTAAGTGATTTCTGACATTTGTGGACAAAGTTCAAGGACTGAAAGAACAAACCTACAGATTTAAAAGGTCTGCATTCCAGTCCCTAGAGTCTGAAATGTTGTCCAAAGTGTTGAGACCATACTGATGATTTTGCTTTTCTTAGAGTCACAGTGGTAATGGAGCAAAAGGATAAAGATTGTTAAAGCCATGGGGCCAACATCAAACATCCAGGATTCCCCTGGAAACAATGAATCTCCACAACACAACGGTAGGAAAATCTGACCACATTTTATATCGCTTTTGTCATATTTAAAGTGGTAGACAAGTGGACATTTTGACCTGAGGGTGGCACTAGATAAATTGTCTGGGGTCAAAAAAACGTGTCAGCTTTGCTCCAACATGAAGAGAGTTGATCAAATGGTCATGTGGGAAAGCAAGGCTGGGTGATGTGCACGCGGTTATGTCTTGTTAAAGCTTCAGTTCCTCAGCGACCTTACTGAAGATGTTGATTTATTAGAGATTTTTATAGACACATATACATACATACAAAATAATAGTGGAGGCTGTTTTGAGGAGCGGTGTATTGTGGCTTTCAGCGTGGATATACACAAACATGTGGGATTGTATTGTTCTCTTCGTGAGAACCAGTTTCAGTTTGAACCACTATAGTGAGGACATTTTGGCTGGTCTTCATTATTTCAAAGGACTGAAGGTTTAGACTTGGTTTAAAGGTTCAGGTTAGAGTTAGGGTTAGGTAAGGTTAAAATAAGTAATATAAAACTCCAATTATAATTTTTTTTAATATTTAAAAGATCCTGTTTACACCTTAGGGGTGGGTTAATAACAATCACACCAGCCTCATGCAGTCTCCCATTCAAACAGTGCTGAAGAGGATTTATTCTGAGAATAAACTCAAAATTCAGACTTGTTTCTCAGAGTATCTTAAACTCAGATGTTTTACATGTGGCCCTAATGCTGCGATACGGCTATGATACGGTTCACCCCCTCTTCAAAGGTTAACAAGTCCTGTTTTATTGCTTGTAAGCTGCTGATCCTATGGGAATGAAAATAGTGCATTGAACTTGGGGTGTGGCTAGGTACACATGTAGGGTGTGGATAAAAAAGGAACACAATTGGTCAACGCAATATATAACACATACAATAAGAGAACATAATAAATATAAATACAAAAATATACATAAAAAGTGGAGAATGCTTGTACCTGTAACATACATTAAACTTTACAAATCTTATCCTTGTAGTTGGTTAATCTCACATACATAACGCAAGATTATTGAAGCAAAGGTTTACTACCAACAAAGATAATTAGTAATTTTGCTCAATTAAAAATTAAGTCTTTAGTAGGAGAACTCCTGCAGTACTCAGAATGACTCTATTGGACTCTGATATCAATCACATGTCTGTATGCTATAACAAATCTGGACATTGTCAGCTTAGCTAGGCTTAAAGAATGGAAGCAGAGGGAAACTGCTAGCCTGTTAAAAAATACATATACTAACACCTTAATCAGAAATGAACACTGTGTGTAGGAGTAAATACACAAGATGCAGAAATGTACAAATGACCATTTTTTGTGGTTTCAGATCAAGGTGTATGTACTTCAAGCCTAGTGTCTGTGCAGTCGGATTATTTTTGCAGTTATAGGGCTCCCCCTATAACTGCAAAAATAATCCGTGGTGGAAATATTGGCCAACCAGCGGCACCGGACGTGACCATATTTGGACGAGACGGTGGAGCTAAGAGCCGTGAGCGAAGCTAGCTAGCTTGCTTAGCTAGGTGCATCTGTAATTCACGTTAACTGTCATTTTAACCGGGCACTTAACACTTTAGTCTTAAAACTAAATGTACTCACCAGAGAAAGTGAACAGCCAACTCCTAATAAGCTTTTTCAACGGTGCTGCTTAAATTTACACAGTGCCGTGGGTACGAGTCACTCTAGCCTGATTGCCAGGTTGCCATGGTAGTGAACATCATATTGTATTGAAGAAGACATGAAACTAGGGATTGAGACCATAAACTCATCAGGAAAGTGTTTAATGAGGTAATAAATCAGGTGAGAAGAAGCCTCATTGTGCCATTATTTCTAATGGAGCCAGACTTCTTTCTGCAACCTTTCTGCAACCAGAAGAGTCGCCCTCTGCTGGCCGTTCAATAGAATACAGGTTTAAGGGCTTCCAACTTGGTGCAATCGCTATAATTATGGTCCGGTTCAGTTCAGGCAAATAAAATTACTTGTTTATGGTTGGGAAAGATTACAACAAACTATGTTGACTGCTGGCAGGACTATATTAATACAGCAGTCCACCTTTTCCCTATGAGGTGTTGCACCAGATAGACATTCACTCCCAGAACATATAGTTGCTTGTCAGGTTAAGTGTTCGACAAAATGACCAATGCTGTAATTTTTGCTGAGAACGACAGAAGGGATTACTGGGGGCAGAGTAGATAAAAGATGGAGAGATCAGATTAACAAATTCATCTTCTAGCTCTCTCTCCTACTCGTCATTCAAAGCCCAGTCTGTCCTGATGATCAGCTGTATTCACTTGCCCTCCCACCTGCTCCATCATTATTTTGTTCTCTATCTTGACCCATTTCCTTTGGCAATTTACTGCCCCTGTGTTGTGCCTCTGTTTCTATCTCTTACTCTCTCACACACACACACACACACACACACACCAAAGTAATCAGGCTTTGATGTGTGTGTATGCACAGAGAGAGGCAAGCGAACACATACATATACTGTATTTAATAAGGTACCAACCAGTCAACAAACCAATCGAATGCTCACGGGTACAATTCCCAGTTGCAAGCTAGCCAGCATTTAACTCAATGCAATTACTGTATCAGGGGGCTCTGAAACATTTTTTTTCCTGTGTTATGAATGTAGCAAATATACATATCCTCCAGCTCTCCTCTGAAGTTCCCCCTAAAAATAAAATCCAATCAGATCACCATTCTTTGGGGTGACTCACCGTCGCTTTGACAAACTTATTTATTCATCAGTGGACACATAATCTAGGTAAGAGTATGACTCGCTCTTTTAATTCAATACCCAAAAGGTGAGGCAAGGATAGCGAGGGATTACGGCTCAAAGTGGATTACTTAAAGGGATGATTCATGATGTGGTGGATAAATTGGGAGAGTGTAGTGATTAATATGCATTTCAAATTCTACTTTCTTTCATCACTGCTTACCAGATTGTTTTATACATGTTATTAACATGGCAGGTAAACCAGTATATGAATCATTATTTTAACAGCTATAACCTCCTTGCTGACTGATTTCACCAGCAGCTATGTTTCACGTTGATATGAGCATACGGGCGGCTGCAGAAACAGTCAGGGAGGGCGGCTAAAGCCATCTGCTCACGTTGTGGTGTAAATGGCATACAGCTGATAGATCGTCGGCTGGGTGACAGCAGCATAGTGCTGAGACTTGAGACAGACTGAAAGGGGTTGTTTTTTCTAGTTTCTGCACGACAAACAGAGGTGTTGTGAAAGTGAAATACTGAGTTTATAGTGTCTTTGAACTAAAGAAAAAATACCCATATTATTTTCTACATCAGTCCAGCCACCGTGGTTGGAGAAGCTAGGTTTCGTGTATTTTTTTTAAAGGAAGATTCCTATTACACAATATTTGTTCCTATTAACTAGCAATGTAACAATTCTTTACTGGAGGTACATGTAGCAATCACATAAAAACATTTCTATCTAACTGGTTAGCAAAACATTGTAATCAAGAATTGTTAATCTGTGTAATTTGTAGTGGTGCAAGGGTCCATGATGTTTCCTTAAGTTTAACTAAGTACTTATTTTAACCCAAACCATGATCTTTCCCTAAACCAAATCTTAACCACAGTGCTGTAAGATCAGAGAATAGATTTATTTCTCAATAGTGATTTGATGAAACAGTTTTCAGTGGGAGACTTATTGATTGTGAACTGTGCAACATATCTGTCTAGATTCAGATAGTTTGGCCTAAAGAAAGCATAATTTGGTAGCACTTTACAGCTCTGTAATAACATGGTAATAGTGGAGGAATAGTTTGATACTAAAGAGGTCATAATTAAGAGATATTCTGTAATTATGAAAGTAATTGCTAGGAAATAGCTTAGTAGTAACAATGGGTGTATCAGTTAATATTAGACTGATATTTAACAGGATAATAAAGGGGCAAACACAAAGGGTAATAAACACATTAAAAGAATTATTAAAACACTATATACAAAAGAGAACGGTAAATACTAATAATATGCACAAAGCCTGAATGTGAAAAGTGAACTGTAATGTTGAGTTGACAGGAAGTAAATAGATGTGCAGTTCGTAAATTAATATATGTCACACTACACTCTGCAAGTAGAGAATATTACCATGAAATTCAAATTAAAAATAAGGTAGTTTAGCATTTTGCCGCTCTGACTCATAGTTATTATATAAAAGCTAACAAGTATTTCCAGGTAACAAGTCACTGCGTACACTTAAAATTGATAATTACTATATTATAATGTAATAATAATCAATGATCATAAAAATAATCAAACATTCCTTTTGGTTGTAAGGTGATACTGTACAGAGTTTCACTTCCA